GACCTTGTAAATTGGAGTAATAGTAATAGGATGAGATTTAATAGTGAGAAGTGTAAGGTGATGCATTTAGGGATGACTAATAAGAATTTCAGTTATAAGCTAGGGACGCATAGGTTAGAAGTGACTGAGGAGGAGAAGGACCTCGGAGTCCTGGTTGATCGCAGGATGACTATGAGTCGGCAATGCGACGTGGCTGTGAAAAAAGCTAATGCGATCTTGGGATGCATAAGGCGAGGTATTTCTAGTAGGGACAGGGAGGTGCTGCTTCCGTTATACAAAGCGCTGGTGAGACCTCACTTGGAGTACTGTGTGCAGTTCTGGTCTCCTATGTTTAAAAGGGATGAACTGAAACTGGAACGGGTACAGAGAAGGGCAACTAGGATGATCCGAGGAATGGAAAACCTTTCCTATGAAAGGAGACTCGAGGAGCTTGGTTTGTTTAGCCTAACCAAAAGAAGGCTGAGGGGGGATATGATTGCTCTCTTTAAATATATCAAAGGGATAAATACCAGGGAGGGAGAGGAATTATTTCAGCTCAGTGCTAATGTGGACACGAGAACGAATGGATATAAACTGGCCGTGGGGAAATTTAGGCTTGAAATTAGACGAAGGTTTCTAACCGTCAGAGGGGTGAAATTTTGGAACAGCCTTCCGAAGGAAACAGTGGGGGCGAAAGACCTCTCTGGCTTCAAGATTAGGCTAGATAAGTTTATGGAGGGAATGGATTGATGGGATTACGTGATTCTAATCAATTAGGCAATAACGGCCATCGCTGGTAAAATGAGGGTCTGGCTAGAGAATCTTGCCTGTATGCTCGGGGTTCTGCTGATCGCCATATTTGGGGTCGGGAAGGAATTTTCCTCCAGGGTAGATTGGCAGTGGCCCTGGAGGTTTTTCGCCTTCCTCCGCAGCATAGGGCAGGGGTCCCAAGCTGGAAGATTCTCTGCAACTTGAAGTCTTTAGATCACGATCTGGAGACTTCAACAGCAGAGCTAAGGGAAAGTGGGGGGGTCAGCTTTTGTGGCCTGCATCATGCGGGGGGTCAGACTAGATGACCATATTGGTCCCTTCTGACCTTAAAGTCTATGAGTCTATGAGTCTATAACTTTATACTTTTTTGTCTGTGCTGTATGTAGGATGTCCTTGAAGGCATATTTTTGTGTGTTTAATAAAAAAAAAAAAGTGGAATGACCTTTCTAGAGACTTACAATTACTGAAGTTAAATAAGCTTCTTTCTTCTGGAACATTTTATTTTAACATCTTTCTAAAGTCTTTTTATGGGGCACTCTTGACAGGCTGCACAACATGCCCAGAAACAGTCTACGGAGCTTTTCCAGTGTATGTATTTCAAAGACAAAGTCTCTGAAACAGATGAGCGCTGTACAGCAGATGGTGTTGTTTACTCCATTCGAACAAATGGGGTACTTGTTTTTGTACCAAGGTAAGTTAGGGCTTGCAGTTGGTAAAGAAATAAGTGATAGCAGGGTGTGTTACTGTTGTATTAATGGAAACTTCAGGTTCTTGAGAAAGGCAGCAGTAGCTGACTATAGCATAGTTTGTTGTTGGAAGATGGCTCAGTTTTAACTTTTTTTTTTTTAAATTTAGGCCCAATGGCTTTCTAGCCTTTGACTTTAAAAAGCATAACAGTTCCTAAAAGGAACAAAGAGGGGATGATATATTCAGTATATCTATTTTGAATTCTTAATTTCTGACCTTAAATGATTGTCTGAACCCTTCTCCTTCCATTGCCCAGCTTCCTTTTAATTGAAATTTGTGTCCCTAACAGCCACTTTAAATTCATTTTCCAATAACAAAATTAATTTGGTCTACTTAGAACTAAGTAAGTGTTTTTATAGTAGAAATTGGCTAGTTACCTGAAAAAAGGACATCTCTGTTCCCTGGAGGAAGAAGTTTAAAACTGTGCATTCCCCAGCTGCCTCTACTTTGCACTGCATTAATTCCACCCCATTATTTAACATAAGGAGTATTTAGATTTTGGGGGCAAGGGGCTAGAGTTGATACCAGCTGTACCCTATTTTTCTTATTTTAATAGCATCCCCTCTGTGTCTGAGGATAAAAGGGTGGTGATGGGGAGAGTGAGTAGATATGGCAGCACTATAGGGGTTGGGAACATTTGTGGCTCAGCTTTCATGGCCAAACAGATGGGGTAGCAGCACCCAGGGGAATTGCTTCCATGATGCTAACAATTATAGATCTGAGTTTCTGTAAGTGATGGTACTTTAGCATCATGTGCTGGGGAGATATCAGCTAAGGAGCTCTTACATGACAATTTTAATCATGAATTTCTGATCTTTGAAATGAGTCTTTAAAATAGCTTCTCACTCTACTGAATGTGTTATAACAAACTATACTGAACTGAATGAGTTGGGAAAAGCCGCTGGGTCTGTGCAGAGGTTGGACAGCCCTACCTTTCACAGGAAGGAGAGATTTCTCCAGTCCCTAACTACCAGGGAAGAGCAGCTCATGCTGCTAACTGTAGCAGGGCCACCCTGCTTTCTATTGACTTTGTAGTTATGCTTCTGATTAGCTTCTTGAGAGGGGTCTGAGTTGGGTGGTAAGGTAGACTTTAGCACTGGTTAAATAGAGGGGAGATATGCAAAATAAGTATGTTCTACTTTTTTGTTCTTTGTAATTTTTTGACAAAGGGGCTCTCTTCATGACTGTGACACTTAGCACACTGTCATTGCTTGATAAATAACTTTCCTCAAACTCACTGTACCTGAAATGTTATGGGGCATTATGATCAAGATACAATACATTCCTATTCTGTATTATTGTTTACATAGATTTAATCCTTCCTCTTCTTCAGTGTGGGGATGGTTTAAAATCATTAAAATGATTGATAGTTCTTAATGGTACCATAATATTGTTTTCAAAATACATTTGTATTTTCACTTTGTGCATCTCATAGGTATGGCATTAAAGGTGCTGCTTATCTGAAAAACAAGGAGGGTTTGGTCATCTCCTGTCAGTCTGATGGCAGTTGTGTATGGAAACCTGGTTCTCTTCAGCGTTTTCAGAACAGAATTACTTCCACAACAGTTGCTGGAGAATCTGTTACATTGAGTCTGTTTGACCATATAACAGTAAGTCTTTCTTAATAAATTTACTAATGGAAGCACCAGAGCACAAATGAGGGGAAAAATAACATTGTGTACTTTTGTTTTTAAGGTAAAAGTATGTGTGCAGAGTTCACGCTGCCATCCTGACACCATCAAGCTTGAAATAATTAGCAACCTACCTTACAAGAATACAGCCACAGAGCTTTACCAGAAGAATATCCACATAATGAAAGCTGACTTAATAAAAGAAGTAACAAGATCTGCAGAGGAAGCTCAACTTGCCCAAGAAAAAAACAGAGTTGAAGTAATCCAGGAAGAATATCAGGAGTATTGCCAAACAAAGGGAGTTAGCTTGTACCAACTGCTTGAGGAAATTAGGGACTTAGCTCTACTAGATGTATCAACTGGTAACTGAGCATGAACTAGGATTTGGCTCTGCTCCGCTTAAGCAGCTTTGCACAATTTTAAATCTTGTTTTTAAAACTGATATTGTAAGTTGATAAACCATTTTTAATGTTTTCTGCTTTTGCTAATTTGAACTATACCTTAACTAAAATTTAGCACTGATTTTTAGAGTGAAACAGGCCTAGCTGATTTAAGATGTTTTATACATGGTTAACTACTGTATTTTCACTAAAAGACTAAAGATTGTATTGTGGTAAACTACTTGATGTCTTTTTAAAAAAAATAGGTGACTGGACATTTTTTTTTCTAAGCTAGATTCTTGTAGCGAACCTAAATATATTTGCATAAGCAATACTGCACTGAGATAGCCAGACCACCACTCATCTTGCCCCTTCAGTTTTGATCAAATTAATTCAACTTTAAATACATTAATTCTACAGCTCTATTTACATTAAACCTGAATGAAGCAGTTCAGCTCCACCCCGTATATGCTTGCTACATAAAAGTGCACTAAAAAAAATCAAAGCTGCCTAAAATTACAATACAAATTAAATCACACTTCCAGGCCTTATTCCAAGATTATCAACATAATTGTGGATGGTTTTCACTGGCCTCTAACTCAGTTATTGCATAAACAAAAAACTGTTACTGGTACATGTGGTTTTAACCTGATTACTGGAACCTCTGAGGGTATTTATAACATACTAATGGAAAGGAGACTCCTAAAGAGCCTTGCTGCCACTATCAAAATTAATATGAAGCTAAATGTAATATTGTTTGATGGTTGACTTCAATAACGCACAAAAGGATTGTCATCTGAAGAAACAATTTCTTTGGGGAGGCTTTCAAAGGCAGAAAAGGAAGTTAAACACCCAGTTCCTACAGAGTCCATTTCACTTCAACTTTCTTGTATTAGTATACTATCAACTCAAAAAACCCTATTCTAACTTAATTTTCAATGAAGTTTTTCAAGCTTTTAGTGCTTACTCCCTTCCCTAAAAGAAAAATTAAATTGAGTTTATATAGTCTGACCTTGTCTCTTCAACAGAAACATAACTTCCCCTAAAATAGGGGAATAAATACGTAGCACTTGTTGTAGGAGGCAAAAATCCTTTAAAAAGATAACCAGAATTATCAGATACCCCCCTTGACCACAGAACGCTTTAACAATTGTAAATCTGAAGCTACTTAATTTTTTGTCATGTGATTTTCTCATGACTTAAGCAACATCAATGAGTAGAGTATGTTTAGAGCACATTTGATTGACAAATTTGTGCCATAGAGAATTTGTGGGCCATCATAATGTTATGTAGAGAATATTTTTCAAATTTGGTTTCCAAAATGTAATAACTTTCAAGGTGCTGTATAAAATAACTTACTAAAATATAAACATTTCATAACATGAAGTATTGTTACAAAATGTTTCAGAAGAGTTAAGACAGGGTGAATGTTCATACTGAGCAAGAAGTTCCTGACACTGAACCATCACTTATGTTCTATTAAAAAAATTAACAGGATGTAAGAAACTTTATACAAACTCAGGCTTTCAAGACCCAGGTAAGTTAAGCTTGAGGAATGTCAATCGTAAAAAAAAGTCACTTCATAGTATAGTTCCAAGAAATTAATGTCAATATTTTCACTGATACCTTTTGTCACTTTGGAAAAAGCTAGTTTAAAAAAAAAAACAACAACAGTTGAAATGCAGAGTGGTTGTGCTCCTTTCCTGAATAGTAGCTGTTTTCTCCAACACCTTAAGAGCTGATATCTGCCTTTTTACACAAGGAAACTGATTAATTTTGTCCAGCTACATTGATGTCATGAATAAGATTTCCATAGAATGTCCAAGGGTGAGGGGGAAGAGAAGTCAATGACACTTGAGCACATTAAGATATTTGGGTCTTTCTAAAACATCATTGTATCCAGACAGAAAGGTTATTTGATTTCTTCTGCACATTTAAGTTGTATATCTTTGTCCACAGCTTCAATATCAGCAACTTCGGCTTCAGCGGCTTGAATTTCTACTTCTGTCAAGTCATCTGGATCCTGAGCCTCAATTGTCTTAAATTCTTCATTTGGCTGGGTGGCAGACAGATCTATTTAAAAAAGTAAAACATTACTGCCTATGATATCAAAGTACTACAGTTTCATTTATCATCTCCAATTTAATTGCTCAGGCTCATACCTCCGAGCCACCCTCCTCAAGGATTCAGGACAGTCACTAATTTGAAATCTGTGACCAGCAAAGATAATTGTGCACAGGGTTTTGTTGGGGATGGATAAAGATGCAGCAATCAACTTCCTTTCTACATTTTAAAAAAAAAAAAAAAGTGTTATCAGTTATCCCTAAGGTAGAAGTCTAGCTGCAGGTAGTAAAGAAGGGATCAGCAACCTTTGGCATGTGGCCTGGCGGGGTGGGCCATTTTGTTTACCTGCCACATCTGCAGGTTTGGCAGATCACAGCTCCCACTGGCTGTGGTTCGCTGCTCCAGGCCAGTGGAGGCTGCGGGAAGCAGCATGGGGCAAGGGATGTGCTGGCCGCATCAACAACTAAGTAGTAATAGGGGAAAATTGACTGTTGATGCCACAGAAAAAGCCCTTAGCTATACAAACTGAGCATTTTATGGAAAAGGCAATGTAAGTTCTTGACTCAAAAGCTTACAGGTATTCAAGAGCAACATATTCTTCCACCAATTAAAAACAATTAGCAAAAGATAGCTATGCACACTAATGAAATGTGTGCTACTTCTATTATAAAAATGTCTAAACCTCAGATATTCTATTTGAATAACATCAGACCTTGGAGTAACTTTTGAGACTATACCACATATGAAAAGCGGTAAAACTCCAGGGGCTGGTCTACACTACTGCGGTAAATCGATCTAACTTACGCAAATTCACATAACTGAAGTCAACGTAGTTAGATCCACTTATCGCGGTGGCTACACTGCGCTGTGACAATGGCAGAGTGTCTCCCATTGACTTCCCTTACGCTTCTCGGGCAGGTGGTGTACACAAATCAATGGGAGCGTGCTCTCCCATCGATCTGGCACAGGGGTCGGCAACCTACAGCACATGAGCCGATTTTTAATGGCACGCAGCTGCCTGCTGGGGTCATGTAATTTATCTAAACTAAATATTTCCCTAAAATTTAGTATCTAAAGAAATCCATGACTTTGGAAAAGCATCTGGATTTAAACTAAGTTATATCAGATCTGAAATGCTAGCTATAAATTTGCCAGATTGGGAGAAGTCCCATTCCTCCAGAAAACATTTGGGTACAAATGGGCAATAAATTCTATGATACACCTGGGAATTCAAATCTCAAACAATCCAGAAAAGCTCTATAATTTAAATATCAAACCTCTACTTCAGCAAATGATGCAGGAAGTATGCAATTTCTTGGTTAGGAAGAATAGACACAGTCAAAATGAACATTTTGCCAATGATATCTTTCTTATTTCAAAATCTTTCTATAATAATCCCAGATAAAACCCTAGCAGGAATACAGAGGATGATGATAGAATTTATGTGAAATAAGAAAAGATTAAGAGTGAGTGCACATACTTTGTACAGACCAGAAATATTCTATGTTACTATCAAGCCAGCCAGATCAAAGCAGTATTGGATTGGGTGTACTCTAACCCAGCCAAACACTGGGCCTTTACACTGCCACAATTTTCTTGTTCAATAAACATTGCTAGGCTACCACGGATTAATACAAAATAATCACACCTTCCAAAAATTTATACACATCCTTTAGCAAAGGCTACTCTATGGGTTGAGCTAGAACTAGAGAAGAAATTCTTTTCTCTTGCTAATGACATCTGTTGCTAATAATCCAGATTTTAACCCAAATTGCAAGCCACAGTGATTTGAAAACTGGGAAAGTCACAGAATACAAACAGTTGACTAGCTATTAAGCAATATATATATGAGAGAGAAAGAGAGAGAGAGAGAGATTAAAACTAACTTTAACTGGCACACACTCCTATGGCAAGGTTTCTCAACCTTTTTCTTACTGAGCCCCCCGCTATAAAAACTCCACGGCCCAGCTGTGCCACAACTGTTTTTCTGTATATAAAAGCCAGGGCTGGCATTAGGAGGTATTAAGGAGGGCAACTGCCCAGGGCCACATGCCACAGGGGGCACCACAAAGCTAAGTTGTTCTGGCTTTGGCACCTGGTGGTGGGGCTCGGGGCCCCAGGCTGCAGTCCCATGTGGCAGGACTTTGGTTTTCTTCCCGGGGCCCCAGAAAAATCTAATGCTAGTCATACTTGGTGGACCCCCTGAAACCTGCTTGCGGCCCCTCAGGGGCCCTGGACCTCTGGTTGAGAACCACAGTACTTTCAAGTTAGGCATTATGTTTCTCAACTTTCTAGAAAAACTGTTTTATAGACAGCTAACTTTAATAGAAACAATGGCATCTGGACAAAAAAAATATAAACTAATTTACATCACCTTTTCAGACAACTTTCCTAACAAAGAAAAAAAAAAGTCCATATGACATGCTGGGAATGGATCTGTATAGACGAATCACATCAGAGGAATGGGGTCTTATCTACAAAAAAGGACCAGCAAACTCAGTCTGTAGCATGATAAAAAAATGTATTTGAGATACTGTTTCAGTGGTATTCTCACACCCATCAGGTTAATAGATGGACAAATTCTGGAGAAATTGTGGTGAAAGATTTTTATGCACAGCTGGTGGCCATATCTAGCCAGAGAGTACTGGGATGCAATTTGTAACCAAATATCACAAACAATTGGATATTTATTACCAATTTATCCTTTGATAATCCTACTGGGGCTTCCTAGTGGAAATGGTCACACACAAGAAAATGAAGAATTATCTTATCTACTACTAGTAGGCTATTGATAGCCTCCCACTGGGAGAAGGGAGGGCAAAATAGTGAACTCTAGAGGAATGTTTTTAAAATGTGGGAGACGGTTGTTATAGGAAAATTATACCCAGCAAAATAGACAGAAGACAGATAGATATTTGGTTACTACTCTAAGTACAGTCATTGGGAAAAGCATACCTGTCCAATTTTTTTGAATATTAACATTTGATAGACAGACCTGATTTGTTAAATGTGTAATGAGAGATTTTCACTTCATCTAATAAAAATCATGTCATGGGTAGTGTCAAGATACTCACTCTAACATGGTAATGCCCGGTTATAGATCACCAGATCTCTCTATGTATCAGAGGGGTAGCCGTGTTAGTCTGAATCTGTAAAAAGTAACAGAGGGTCCTGTGGCACCTTTAAGACTAACAGAAGTATTGGGAGCATAAGCTTTCGTGGGTAAGAACCTCACTTCTTCAGATGCATCTGAAGAAGTGAGGTTCTTACCCACGAAAGCTTATGCTCCCAATACTTCTGTTAGTCTTAAAGGTGCCACAGGACCCTCTGTTACTTTTTACAGATCTCTCTATATTACTGTATAATGTTTCTCTAAGCAAAAGCTCACTGTTGTAATGGTTGACGTAGTCTCCGATAATTACATAGCTAGAATCTGTAACCCTGTTAAAACGTCCTAAAGAAAATAAGAAAATCTAGCTCCAAAGAGGCTTTTTGAGCCTGCCACTTTCTAATAGGAAGTTAGAGGCAAGACTACTGGATCTGCCTCTAATGTGTATCCATTACATCATAATTTAACCTCTCTGCTGTATCAAGAAGAACCACATTAGTCACGTTATCTTTAGAAACATGAAGACTAGAAACTCCCCCCTCCAATATGAAAGCTTAATTGACAGTTAACTTTCCCTGGGGAGGGGTTTATCTGTGTGGTTTTCTGAATGGTTAATCTTAACTGCAATACAGTGAAAGCTCCCAACTTTGCACAGATAAAGGTTAAATTCTGGAAAATAGAGAAATCTCAATGAAGTTAGGTGTCTACTGCTCCATAAAACCACGACCCCCTAGAAAATTAGCTGCTTTTTAAAATGTATTTTTAAAGCATGTCCTGTTCTCTTCTTTGGTTTGATGGTGTGGGCTTTTGAGATTTTTAAGCTATGAACATTACTCGTCAGCATTTAAACTTCAAAATTCTGTTACTATTTACCATTTTCTTGTGACTGACTGTTAAATTGCATCTTTGCCTGTCTTCTTTCCAAGGCTAGTTGCCGGTTCCTCTCAATTCTTCGCTGTTGCTCCTCTGTTAAGGCAGTACTTGAGTGAGAATCAAATTCTTCCTTCACATTTTGAGAAAAGGGGTCTAATTCTTCTTCAGGAGACATTCTGAGCCCATTATTTCCCCCTCCACTACCTGTATAAAAAGGCACGAGCAAAAACCGTCAGCACGTTTGAAGCCAAAGCATTACTACTAGTGAAACCAAAAGTTTCAATGTAGATCTAAGACTGTAAAAACATGTTAGAAACTACATTTAAAATTATAAATACTATATTGGTAGCTAGGGATAATTCACTGATTTAAATTGAGGCTAGATGGTGGCTCTCTGATTTCTATGAAATCTGTATTTTTTATCCCTGGAATACTAACAGTGTTGACCAGCATTAAATAGACCATATTAATAAAAACATAAAAAGTTCTGAATATACAGGGTTTTTTGTGGGTTGTTTTTTCTGTTTTTGGCTGCACCAGTGTCCATACATTGTGCTTGAAGGTTTGAGGCGAATAAGAGGTAGGACAAAGGGCTTGTCTTCACAGAACAGTCTTGCAGTGCTGCAGCTGTGCTGCTGTAGCACATTAGTGAACATGCTACTATGGCAACAGGAGAGTTTCTCCCATTGGCGTAGTTAATCCACCTCATTGAGAAGTGGTAGCTATGTGAACAGGAAAAGCTCTCCCACCAACATAGTGCTGTCTACACTGGGGGGAGAAGGAAGGGGGTGTTGGTATAACTATGTCACTCAGGGGTTTGGATTTATATACCAATATAAGTCTGTAGTGTAGACCCTGGCCAAAGCAACAACACATTAAATCCTTGTTAAAAGGTCCAGATTCTCTAAGGTGCCACATTTCCCCTTGGTGCAGAAAAATGGAAGGTTAGAACTGACTGATTCTCTGATGCTGGGAATCAACAGGACACATGTTCAAATACATCTGTTAATTTAGCTGTCTTTAAAATGCATAAACAGTCACTCTAGAACTCCTCATTATGTTGCTACAAATAGGGAATACATATCACCATGATTGCCATATTTTACAATATGCAAAATGGAGGTAGAGAAATTGAGTGACTTGCCCAAGTGCACAGAGAAGTGCTCCAAGGCAGTGAGATGGCAGAAAATGTTTCTGAATAGAATTTTCAAGCTGACTCAGCCAAGAAACTTTTCCAACTACTTCTGAAAATTCTCTATGAAACATCTCTTTGAAATCTGAAAACTGGTCTACACTAGGAATTTAAGTCAGTTTATTTACGTCGCTCATGGGTGTGAAAAATCCAGACACCTGAGTAATGCAGTTAATGAGCAACAGAGGGTCCTGTGGCACCTTTAAGACTAACAGAAGTATTGGGAGCATAAGCTTTCGTGGGTAAGAACCTCACTTCTTCAGATGCAAGTTAATGACTTCACACCCAACGTAGACTGCGCTAGGTCGACAAGAGAATTCTCCGGTTGATCTAGCTACCACCGCTCAGGAAAGTGGATTACCAACGGTCGGGAGATCCCCTCCTGTTGATATAGGTAGTAGTGCAGCTGTGCCCTGAGGCATCTATGACAGAGGTATAACTGCTAGTGCCATTAGTCTTAATCTCTCTCTTTAAAAAAATAAAAAAAAAAAATAAAAAAAAGAAAATGAATCTTGATTTTATGAAAGTCAATTATTAGAACAACCAGTAATAAAAAATAGTTTTTTCCCCGTTGGGGGGGGGGGGGGGGGGGGAGGAGAATAAGTCACATAAATGTGTTGTTGAAAAACAAGTCAACATCCCTGCACATTCTGATACCTTGACTGCATTGAGAACTGCTTGGCATTGGCTTGAAGGACAAGAAGAAAACGATGCAGTGCAGCATACCTACTGTAATTTTGAGTTGTTCAATTTTATTAACTCCTCAGTTTGTAAAATAGATGTTCTACTATAACATGATTTTAAAGACTAGTGTATGGAGCCATCGCACAGAAAGTCTGATAACTAGACAGACTCTGTCGGCAGGAACCATATGTTTTAATGTATGTGGCTGCTTAGGGTTGCATTATATTACTAACAAATACAACCAACAGCAAATACAGCCACATTTATGTAGTTGCACTAATGTCTCACACAGGGTTTGAACTCATGTCTCCTGCATGTCTCACAAAATATCTAATCACAAAGCTAGTTAGCTTTTTCGCAGCACTATTTTTCATGGCACTGAGTCACCTGAAAGTATGAGCAGTGTCATTCACACATTGTCCTATGATCTTTTTTTCAGAAACACTGCAACGAAAGTGTGAGTGTTACAAAACACTGTCTGTACATTAACATCTGCGTTCTCTAAAGCTTTTTTCTGCATTTAATGACAAAATGGTCTATGGACATGTTTTTTGTGTCTATGCTATTCAGTAAGATACCTCATATTTGCACATGATCAATTAAAAAAAAAAAAAAAAAAAAAAAAAAAAATCAATAAAAAAAGCCTCACTATTTTTCTAGTATTAACTCTTGTGCTTACAGTTTGTATGTCTTGGATTTACATGCCAACGTTGTTCCATTGTCACACGGAGGAGAAGCTACACAATATTAATATATCCCTCCCAAAATGAAGTAGATAAACTAGGCTATGATAAGGATTTGCCCCAGTAACAATATCTCCCTCTTCAGGCTGACTCACTGTGGGACAATAAGGAGGCCAGAAGACAAAAAACACCCAACATGAAAAGGAACAAGTATAAAAAGAATTGACTGAAGAAGAGAAAGAGGACTGCAACCTACTATGGACACGGTGATTTACTAATGGTGTAGCTTCAAGACATCATCTAGACTGGATATTTGCCCAGATTATAGTCACTGGTATAGAGGCAACAGTACCTGATCACTAATCCAGTCAGCTCCCCATGGTAACTAACACCTCATCTAAATAATTTAGAACTACTGAAGAAAGTTCACAGCACAGCCTAAACAGATTTTATCCACAATGAAACAAGCAGACAGGGAAGGTAGTAATATGTTTCACTAGTTCTGCCACAAAATGATCATAGAGAAAAAGGGAAAGATTTCTTACTGCTTGCTCACCATAAGCAATGAGGACCCAAGGGAAAACTGTGGTCTGTTACTTCTCTCTAGTGTTACAATTTCTTTCACAACACTAACTGAATCCAACTCATTTTTCATGCAAGGAAAATATTTTTCCACAGACTAGTAATAAAACTACTTTCTGGTTCATCTGAAGCACTATTTGATTATATAAAGAACTGCTGCATTAGCCACTTCAAAATTCTCTATTGCCTTTTTTTTTTTTTTTTTAAATGGCATGATCTTGAGATAGTGGAAAGAGTTAAAAGGAGTAGTAAGTATACAGACAGCTAAATACAGTAGTGGCAGCAGACACCAATAAGTATTTTTAACAAGAAAAGAATCATCATATAGACTGCTCTGTTAAAATGGGAAACAGATACATACATAAATCACTTGATGTACTTAATGAACCTTCTATTTCCTATCAATCACAGACTAGTAAACTGCAAGAGCACTTCAATTCTGCACCTCTTAGGTGAAGTGGAACCCTAATGTTAATTTTATGTCAAAATAGAAAGTTTCTTGAAGGCTCTAACAATTCAAACATTGTTGATGTCCTGCTTTTGGGTTAACTTATTATCCACTACCTATTTTCCAGCTCAGAATGGATAAATAAGATGTTGAGAAACTTCTCCTTTACTGAAAGCTACTCATCTCTAGAGATATATGTAGCCTGATCAGGATGTAGAGGACAGACTTAAATTTGATCAAAGAAAATTTAGCATAATTCTCTAAGTCTTCTACAGAGGCATGTTATTAAAAGAGAGGACCAGATAATCCTAGGAGTTTTTTTCCCCCCTGTACAAGGATGCAGATGTGTTATTTTTCCATTGTACCTTATTTTTCCATTGACTGTGAAAGTTGAGAACAAGTTAATTTTTAAATAAACTACTGGAACAGGCTGCAGAAAAGCATACATGCCTTCATTACTTGTAAAATCTTCATGTAAAATTGGAAGATCAAGTCTAATTCGCTTTAAGCAGGTCTGAAATGAGAAGAGATGCTATTTATTACAGATTAATGTTTTCACCAAAACATCTTTGCACTATTTCACAGTAAAACAATAGTTACATAAAGCTTAATGCAAAACCTGAAACTTAATTGGTAAACTTATATACAACTGAGAATACAGGGTGTAATCACAGGGCTTCCTGCCACCACACCAGGCGCGCACACCTTTACTAACATTTCAATCATTGATGTCCTGCATAGTCCAGAAGGAAGAAAACCACATTGGGGCGCTAGGGAAAAGAAAATCAGCTATATGGTATGCTTCCTTCCATTTACTCACCTTTCTCACACCTACATCAGAATGGAAGAGAAGCTGAACTTGGCAAAAAATTTTAGTATAACTTGTGGAGGTTAACACCATATTAATTCCTACAGCACTTGATCTTCCCCTGCCTTTCCCCAAACCCGAGATGCCGCAGAGTGCAACAATGGACTGGCAGTAAATAGCATAGTTACTGGTCTTGCCATACTGATGCAGCTTGAAGCAAGTACTGCGGGGTCTCTGGCTTCCACTTCTTTTTTTTGCTCACCCTTAACCAATTCCACTATGCTACACCCTTGTCAAAACTTGAGAGATTTTGAATTACTTTGTTCCCCTCCATATGCTCTTGTATTAGAAGAGATGGTTACGAGCCTTTGTATGTATTAGACCAGGTCAGATAAAATTTAACATTGACTCACAAATCAGCTTTAGCAATATTACCTGAATGTCTCCAACAGCCAGGCTAAGAGAGGAATTGGAGCACATTTTACTTTTAGCCAATAGCGGAGGAAAGTAGACAGATTGTTCACAATCGCCTTTTTTGTTAGGCTTTGGGGAGTAAAAGTTTTCCTACTCAGGCCTCCATTCACGGTTGTCTCCTGGTCTGGTCATAGGATGATGATGCTATTTTCGCCTGTGAGGTATCATCTCTTTCTGGGTGATGGTGAAGTGTTTAACTTGCTGCTAACCCGCTTTCACCCTCTTTTCCCCTCCCAGGAAGGTCAGTGCCTTTCTTCACAGTTCCTTACAATTCCTCTTCTCTGTTTGGGCTGAAACTTTGTGCGCTTAGAAGTTTTTTTTTCTGTGTTCCCCATCTTCCCTTAAGTAATGCAGGAAACAGCACACCCACTAAACACTCTGCTGCAGATGTAAATGTAAAAATAAATTCCAGCACTCCAAAATAACTTACTTTGGTAATAAAGGATGCACCTACAAGTTACAGCATGTTCTCTGAAATATTGTGTTTCGAATGAAAGGTAACGTATAATGCACTCCTAAATAATTTATTCAACACTGATTGAGATTTTTACTTCAATTAAATGAACATGTGCATTTAATTTAATGAATTATTTAGGAGAGCATTATAACTTGTCTTCCTTTTTTTGCACAGTATTATCCTCCCAAACTCTGCCACTTGTACAATATGGTATTTGTAACAAAACAGAAAAGGACATGACTAGCACTTACTTGAACTTCCTTTTTATTTCCCAAAGACTCTACTCTCTCCATGAAATCATCAAACTGCAGTTTCGGAAACAGCCTATGAGCCCAGTGTTCCATGTGTCTTAAAAGTGTCTTCAAGTCCTCTGTCTGACATAAATAAAAGACATGCAATTCCAACAGTTGGATAAATATGCAGATTTTAGAGTGAGAAACATTTTCAAAGACACTAGCATTCGGTTTTTGCAAGGCTGAAAGTCTCCTGGAAACTGAACAGGTAAGTATATCAGGTGATCTTACATTGTACTAGATAAGTTCATGATTGCTATTATGGGCTATTACAAAAGAGCGTAGCCAATCTATAATAAGAATGGCGATCAGCATTCAGATACACACCTGCATAGACTTTAAAAGCACCTTTTCAGAAACCTATAAACTGAAAATTAAATATTTTTGTAAACACAAGCTCTCAAACAGAACAGAAAAAACAAACAAGTGGTGAAAGATTCATTGTCACAATTGTGACAATCATGGTCCAGACACACCAGGCAGAGAACAGAAGGTTTAAAAACCCCAAAAAGAGCAGATGAAGCAACTGATTGCATACTGTATTATTATACCATGCAAGTGTATTGAGTAAAGTCTTATGAAAGCTTGCAATGTTCTGAACTTGATGATCATGAGGTATGTAGATTCTGGTTATGACACTGCACATTTAGGCATATATATATA